CTAACGGGCGCAGAAGCGGGCGGAGGTGTGGTTGGCGCCGACGAGGGGGAGGCCGGGGGGCGTGGGCTGGAAGAAGCGGGGCGCGGGGGGCGGGTAATTGGGGAGGGTGGGAGGCTCCATGGTTGGTTATTCGTGGTGGACGGCCGCCGCTCCCATCGGAAATTCGGGGGCGAGCGGCGACGGCGAAGGTGGGTGGAGGAAGGTATAGGAGTTGGATTGGGCGTGTCGCTTTTCTCGGCGGGTATGGTGGGCCCGGATTTGCGCCGCGGAGTTAGGGGGGCCGGGGTTGCCCGGAATTACCGTCTGTGCCATTCCGTCACGAGGACGACGAGCGGCGCTCGACCGGTCTCTCGCGGTGCTTCCAAAAATAAATCGGAGTCGGTGGAAAATAAAGATCGTCCAAAAGGAGTACTCCGTAGAAAATAAATGTGCGATGATCTTATGTGTATCTCTCTCATTTACTCTTTTGTACGAGTAGCAATGATCTGGTCTTTCACGCAGTAAATGTAAACAATTGATAAGGCAAAAAATAAAAATAACCAGCAAAAAACAACGAATACATCCCCGCAAAAAACAATGAATGCTAATGTAAAAAATGAACTAAAGGGGCATGATCTTCCAATTCCAGTGTCAAAATAATATATTTTTACATCGTACAAGAATAATGGTAAGAAAAAAAAAGAAAATGACTAAAACAATTGAAAGCCAAAGGAGCAAACATTAAAACTGGCATGGACGAACCAACCTGTTTTTTGTTTCCCAGAAAAAAAAACTAATTAGAAACTAATTAGTGTTCAAGTCCAAAATTGACACTAGTGGTTGCATTTTTTTAGATTTATTTCAAGCCGTTCGGTGATGTGGCGTTCAGTGGGAGGAGGCGTTCTCGTCGACTATGAAGGTGTTTGTAGGATTTCGTCAATCTCAAGACGATGTGACGGTGGATAGGTTATCGGTGTGTGCATTCATAGAGGTGAGTGCATGTGCGTATGTGCGAGCGTCTACGACCTTGCCGTGTTAAAAAAAAAACCGACATGACAAAAGTGCATCCATGCGACGAGAAACAGAAGACGGCGTTCACAGTGGGTGATCCATTGGGCGGGCGGAACGCGGTGAAATCATGCTCGCTCCCTGAACGATTTTTGAATCGGAAAAAATGGTACGCCGTGCTTGAAACTTTTCATTTGCAGGTGACTTGAATTTGTATACGTACTACTATATGGCAAGACACTAGACACTGGACCAGGACATTCAGCTCACGTCGTTTTGTTTGGCAAAATTAGCATCTGGGGTGCGGATCCGAGGCTTAGGATCACACAACACCCATGCATGTGATGTGCATTGGTCTCGGCGTCTCGTGAGAGTTTGAGGCAGAAGGTGACGGCCGAGGTTCACACCTGGTTTGAGGACGGTGCCAGGAAGACGCCCCCCTTGAGTCCACGGCGTGCGTATCTGGGGCGCGTGATCTGCGCGTGTGACGGTGCCGCGGCAATCTTTGCGCAGGTGATCGCCCGACCGTTGGCCCGTGCCAAAAGGCGAGACGGCGTGCCGTGGCAGGCGAGGTAATTATCGCGCACTGTGCCGCCTGGTTTGGTGGCAGGAGTACTATTCCTGGAAGTCGGTGGCCGGTGGGACACACGGAAAGGAAGGAAGGAAGGAAGGAAGGAGGAGGATCATGGGGGCCAGAGCCAGAGAATCCAGACCTCTGTCTCTGTCTCGTCTGGCGTGCCAGCGCCAGGCAGGCTGTGGGTTGGCTTGGCTGGGAAGCTCTGCTTCGTCACGCGGTTTCGGGTCCGCCCCCGCCCTCTGGATTTTTCTTTGAGACCCCCCGCCGTCTGGATGGATCAGGTCGAGCCTCCCCTGCGCCAGACCCTTTGCGGGCCCATGGACCCGTCGCGCTTTATCCGTTCGTGGGCCCGCGCGACAGCTCCGCTGCGACGGGCCCGTACGTCGTATATTCCGTAGCCCGCAGCAGGAGTGCTGTGACCGTTACCTCAAAAAAAAAAAAGAGTGCTGTGACCGACCGTGCGTGTTCAAGAGCAGATAGGGTAATCCATGCAAAACACAGAAAGATTATCCGAGAGAGTAAAGAGCCAGCACCGTGGGTCGAGGCTACGCGGCTGCGGGGGCTCCATGTCGCTTGTGCGACTGCGGCTTCCGGCGTTTTAGATCTGTTGCGGCTCGGCTGTAGCTTCCCGGCGACGGCTTTGGCTGTCCTCCGGCCCACCGAGGCAAGGCTTGGGGCGAGGTCGCAGGCTGGTCAGGCCCTCCCTTGCCTCCAGCTCTGCGATGTGGGCTCCATGCCGTCGGGCCTGGCCGAACTCCTTCCGGCGGTGAAGACAATGACGTGGTGGCTCTTGGGCTCCGGGGCGGCGGCCCCGGATATGGTGATGGCGGCTTCGGCCAGGGGGTGGTGCGTGTCTGGTCACGGTGGATCGTGGGATCCCATGGCCAGAGTGAGGTCGGCCTCGGCAGGGGTGATGGATAGTGGGCGGCGGTCGGTGGTGGCAGGTGGTTGGACATCTCCGAGAGAATTCCTTGCTCCAGTCTTCACCGGAGCTGGCGACGGCGGTGCCCGTGGGTGCCGCGATCTTTCTTGGAGGCGTCGTCTTGGAAGTGCTCCTCCTCTTCCCCACGGCTTGGGCTCCGGAGGAAAACCTCAGATCCGCTGGATCGGGCGATGGAGGCGTCTTCCACTAGTAGAAAAACGACTTTTAGTACCGGTTTGTAAGGACCTTTAGTACCGGTTCTGGAACCGGTACTAAAGAATGGGGACTAAAGGCCTCCCCCATTTAGTACCGGTTCAACACGAACCGGGACCAAAGGCCCACCACGTGGCACGAGGCGCGCCGTGGTCTGGGGGACCTTTAGTCCCGGTTGGTAAGGATTTTTTTTATTTTTATTTTTAAAATAAAGCAAAAACAGCCCGCCTACTGGGCCAGCACCGCCTGCATACGACTAGAAACCCAATCTCTAGTTGGGCCAGGATGCAGGCCCGTACGGCCCAGTAGGCCCCACAGGGCAGAAGACTTGCAATAGGCCCACAAAGGCCTGCTTAGAGAGGAGCTCGACATGGTAGCCGCGGTGGGGCTTATAAACCGGTGCGAGCTCCTCTCAACTAGCGAGGTGGGACTAAACATTGTGCACTGCGGGTGACAGCGCACCACCTTTAATACCGGTTGGTGGCTCCAACCGGTACTAAAGGGGGGGGTCTTTA